CCAATTGAAGTTCCTGCAGGCAGTGGGACTATGGAGACATGTCCCCAATGGAGGTTCCTGCAGACAGTGGGACTATGGAGACATGTCCCCAATTGAGGTTCCTGCAGACAGTGGGACTATGGAGACATGTCCCCAATTGAGGTTCCTGCAGACAGTGGGACTATGGAGACATGTCCCCAATTGAGGTTCCTGCAGACAGTGGGACTATGGAGACATGTCCCCAATTGAGGTTCATGCAGACAGTGGGACTATGGAGACATGTCCCCAATTGAGGTTCCTGCAGGCAGTGGGACTATGGAGACATGTCCCCAATTGAGGTTCCTGCAGGCAGTGGGACTATGGAGACATGTCCCCAATTGAGGTTCCTGCAGACACTACAAAGTGGGTATAGACTCGCGCATTACATAAGTGTTAAGGTCAGTTTTCCATATCGAAACATACTTAAGTACAGCTAATAAAATCCGCCTGATGCACAGATGGCGCTGGGGTGTTATTTCAACTGACCCTGGGATGTCACTTGACATAAACAAGGAAGCTGGGCCGATGCTGAGGATGTACTTCCCGTGCGTCGACAGCTAAATAAAGTATTAAGTACTGTGAATATCGAATGTCACACATCTATCTGATGTTAAGCAAATATCCGGAAGGATCCCTACTGTGTGTGTTTGTTTGTTTGATGTTTAACGCCGCACTCGGCAATATCCCAGCTATATGGCGGCGGTCTGTAAATAATCGAATCTAGACCAGGCAATCCAGTGATTGATATCATGAGCATCTGTCCGCAATTGTGATACAATGACATGTATACATTCAGAGAGTGTGCATGTATTGCGTAGCGTGTGATCACTTCAAATTCAGATACTATTTGACTCTGTCATAACAGAGCACATTACAAAACGGTAACATATACTGTCATACGTTAAAAATGCAACACGTTTATTGTTCGATTCCCAAATTAAAACGATATGTTAACCGAGACATAACAGAACTTAGTGGGAAATCAAGAAACAACAAACTCGTGGTATATAATCCAAACATGTATTACACAATTAACGAAGTTTAAAAATGATTACAAATTACTGCGCAGCAATTACAATGGTTGCACACAATAGAGTGGTAGTACAATATTCAACGGAAATATATGATATAAAGGCAGTGGTCAGTATCAGATCTAAATATAATGCTGATAGCCGAAGTCAGTGATAATAGCATAGCCACTCAGTGGCGACAGTGGTCAAGCTTCCGAGATGATCTAGGCAGGGAATCAGGGATGATGAGCGATCCTCGCATGAAAGCTGGTTCCGAAGCGATGAAATGCGTGAGATATCCGTAAAACGCTATTGTCCCCTTATATACAACCGACCTAGCTTCTGGAAATCTACTTATTGCCATCACCATTCTAGCGGCACTAGAACATTACAGAATATTCAATGGTATTCCGGAAGTGTACACATAGCACTAGCATCTAAATATAGTAAAATCCTCAAAACTGCTTACATTAGACAGTATTACATTCCTGATAACTAATCACCGTCCAAACACAATGAGCGTCGACCGAATCTCAACAGAAACAACGTAACACAGTCACACCATTGTTCAACAATAAAATACTCTGCCATATGCCTTAGGCATTGAACCATGTGTCCTGGCTAGTGGGCCCATGATATTGACCACAATAGAATAGAAATATAAAATACTGGATAGGCTTTTGGGTGTGCGAGAGAGATGCTTTGTTCACTTGTTCCTAATCGCAGCTGGAACCTTCAAGTCACAGATAAAATACTGGCATTAGCATTAGTCAGTATTTCATCTGTGATCCAGCCGCATTAAAAAAATGACGTTAATTGTCCGTTAGTTTACGGCAACAGCACAGACATTGTTATTATACAATCCGAAAATGAATATGCTGAGTGATATCAACGTTTAGTCTATATAAATATATATTTCAGTTTTCCTTTGCAAGAACGTGTGTTCAACCTGAAAAATCCGTTCATAGCACATTACTGAAGCTATCGGGACCTTCATTACCGCCATTGCTGAGCAGAAAGCAGTAGACCCGTGAGGATCCGGTGTAGAATAGGTCTTCAGCAACCCATGCTTACCATAAAAGGCGACTATGCTTGTCGTAAGAGGCGACTAACGGAATCGGGTGGTCAGGCTCGTTGACTTGGTTGATGCATGTCATCGTATCCCAATTGGGTGGATCGATGCTCATGATGTCAATCACTGGATTGTCTGGTCCAGACTCGATTATTTACAGACCGCCGTCATATAGCTGAAATATTGCTGAGTGCGGCGTTATACAACAAACAAACAAACAAACAGAAAGCAGCCTGAGGATTAACCTTCAAAGACGGCTGTCCAATATGGTCCTGTCTGTCATTCAGTTTCAAATAATTGCGTGATTCGAAAAAAACTTGTCAGCCCTGTTTCTTTTTCATCTTCAACAACTATTCCCTTAATTGCAAGATTTTACTTTGAAGGTTTTAGAATAGGTTTTTCTTTATTAAAACCTAAAAGCAAGTTTTCCTGTGTTTTGAAGGAGCCACCTTTACAATGGCAAATATCCGCAAACATAGAAGCACAAAGCTACGACTCCACACCCGCATGATTGCGTCAGTAGTATCAGCCTGTGAGGTCAATCAATCTTTATTCATGGTACTTATGAGGCCAAAGGCCTATAGTACAATGTGAGGTCATGACCCATCGTCCATAAACGAAAGATAAAACGAAACGGGAAATTAAATCGTGATGGCCAATCAAACATGAGAGATTGTTTATAAATTATGGTTAAATAAGTGGAGTTGTATATTTGGAACTCGTATAACAATCGCCGTTCTAGTGATCACTTTATAAAAAATAGACCTTTTCCGGCCATAGTGTGTAATGTACAGTATCTGGCATACTTGATGACACAAAGACCATTTCCGGGTCGCGTTGCTCTCGCCTTTTCGCGAGCGCCTGGTGTCGTCGCTGTGTGCTGATGATTAGTGGGCGCATGGTCGTGGTACTGTCGGGATCGTGCTGTGGAACTGGTACTTGTCTCTTATACCAACACAAAGATATATGGTGAAACACTGCCATTTCAACATGATGTTTTTTCGAACAACCTGTGTCTTTTCTGGAATCATGTCATTGGCTTGTTACGGGATATATGGAATGGATGGAACGCCGACAGTAATTAAAGGTAGGTTTTAAGCTCACCTGAAGCAAAATCAACAACTTGTTTCCCTAAATGAGGAAATCCGAATTTGATCAAGAGATTTCAATCCGATGTTCAATCATTTTGCCGTGCTTTTTCCCTAAATGCTTTTTTCATGAAAATAAAAGTTATCATTTATTCAAATCAGCGTTATTGACTCGGCAAGGCGACAGGGACAAGTTCATATAGAAAAAATATGTTTTTAAAAAAATAAATTAAATTCTCGTTGTGATCATTATAATTTCTGCATTCTGATTAGCTCAATTGGTCACGTGTTATTGCATTCATTTCCCATTGAATGTAAAATAATCCATGCCTACCGAGGCGCACTACTTTTATTACTGCGGAATGTCGGGGAATCCCGATATTACAGTCGAGAGAAATCCCTTTCTGCTCACGTGTATCGTTATGGACAGGACAGTTTGCCAAATCCATGCATGTACATTGTCCAAACTACCATGTGAGAGCGAAAGCCGAGAATGAATAAACAGAAACGTGCAGGCACGCTCGTCTGTTTCTTTCCCGCACAAATTTCATGTCTTCGGGTTTCATTTTATAACCCGCCATTTTCCAACTTTGTCTTCCGTTTCTCAGGGAACTAATGTTTGAATCTGGCGGTAACTGACCATGTCATTTCAAACAGCCGCCTTCTCCCGGAGATATTTGTTCCAGTTCGTTACGGTCTGACTGTTTCAATTCTTCTCGCCTCTTGCCTTGACTGACAGGTCCTTTGAACTTTGTCCAGGACCCCAAAATACATGAATTTCATGATATTTCATTACAATCAGTCTCTTCTAGATTAAATATATTCATTTTGTAAAATTTCTACTTTATGTAATTATTAAGAAATATTAAGGTAACAATTTCGATCAAAAAGAAACACTTGGTTCAATACCATACCTATAAAAGTAATTGTGGAGTCGAGTTTTGTATAAAGGAACAAAAAAGATATGTATGTTCTTGAAACTCTTGGGTTTGTCGTATGAAAAAACGACGATAGACTAATATAGTACAAATGATTCGGGAGAGCTATTTTGAGTGCAACCATAATATTCCGTTGATTCCAAAACGTTGGGGTTGTTAACCAAGCAATATATTTTGTGGTCATATTTCGATAAACCTAAAGCCATTAGACCACGCTAATTGCGCGGAATTACGTAATGCGTGCTCACATGGTTTTCCATTTATACTTCCATACACGCAAAAAAGTAAATTCTGAAACAATGCTATTCATAGACACGTGCATCATGATGTTACTGTAAACGAGGTGCACGTGTCTCAGGCGCCGCGATTCGCTGTGCAGAGTTGCGGCCCTTTGAAACGCCAGAAACCTATGATCGTTGTTTCGAATCCCGGTTCGTCCCGATTATGTTTCTAGATTTGTCAACACCATACCCGTGCTCGTGGGTTTCAAAATGGGGTAAACGTCTGAGACCTGCATCACTTCGGGCTTTTCTCCCACACCGAATAGACGCGATGTGATAAAAAACAACGAAAAAACACCTGGAATGCTACTGAAAGTGGCGTTAAACCCAACTCACCCAAAATCTAAAGGAACTTCAACAAGAATCACGTGGTACCATATGGGAGACAAACATACACCTATAAAAAGTTAAGCGCCTCTTACTATATATTTCCATATATGTTAATCAGGAAATACGACATTTAGTAGAGAGTGATGCAGTCTGGTCCAGACAATCCAGTGATCATGCTATTGTTTGCTGCTTATACCTATGACATTACACACTCATGATCTGTTTATATATACATATATTATTTCTATTGCTTTTTCAGCGAAATATACTGATACCCAGAATACATCAGTTGTAGCGGGAAGTGATGTTGTTTTGGAGTGTACGGGTAGCGCATCAGGGTTGTTCACCTGGTACATAGGTAGTAGCAGAGAGTATGTTGCGGATTTTCAAGGAAACTCTGGACCATGCGGTTTTCGCCTCGGAGAATCACTTCTGCCAGGCCTGACACTGGGAAACACGGACTGCAGTAAACATGCTCTCAAAATCTCCAACATCAGCAACGTGCACGATGGAATTTGGAGTTGCACATCAAATGAGTACTCAACCAAGAGCATCCATGTCCATGTTGTGGCGCCACCGGCAGGTACTGTAAGACGATCTTTCATTATTAGTGTTTTAGCTATGATGTCCGACATGGAAAATGCAATGTTGAATAAGGCTGCCCAAATCATATCCACGCCATCTTCATTCAGTTATAAATCACGTAGTGACTAGGGAAAGTTGTTGTCTTTACGCTATATCAGACTATTTACACGAAAGGAAGACCACGTGGCGTCAGTCGCCATACGATGTTACGTAAAGTATAATAAGAATATTTTCCTTCCAACTTTTCCATGCAATTTAATCTCAACTGACCAATATATGACGTTATCATCTTCATAACAAACACTGTTGGATCATCGTTTATGATGTACCCCTGTCCTATGTCTATATAAACCTTTCAACTTCCTCGGGAAAAGTAATTAATTTCAACTCTGTCTGCCTAAGGTGCATATGTCATATGCAAGCCAACTATACATTGCTCTGCCCTTATCGGAAACAAAGGATCGACGAACCCGTCTACATTAAGTTATGTCACATTATGGGGATACAATTGCATTTCCAGCATGTTAAAAATTATGACAAATTAACCAACAGGACGTCTCCAGAGAAATATGTCAGCATCCTTGGCTTACTTGAGGGGAAACTCCTCCTGGGTGTGCCCGCTTTTGATGGCTTCTAACACTAGCTCCACACCTTCACTCACTCACCCAACAGGATGTTCACATGAATCAAATGCATCTTCAACCTTTTACAAAATAATAGGGCTTGTAATAGGTTTGTTTGTTTGTTTGTTGTTAAACGCCGCGCTCAGCAATATTCCAGCTATATGACGGCGGTCTGTAAATAATCGAGCCTGGACCAGACAATCCAGTGATTGACATAAAGAGCATCGATCCATGCAATCGGGATACGATGACATATATCAACCAAGTCAGCGAGCCTGACCACCCGATCCCATTAGTCGCCTCTTGCGACAAGAATAGTCGCCTTGTAATAGGAAGTACATTTAAACGTATTCATTATTGTAATCCTTTAAATTCCTTTCTTTTTAAATAGATAAAAAGTATTGGGATACGTCAATCAAATTAAGAAAATGTTTTTGTATTTTCATGCATTTGACTTTTCAAAACATTTTCTCCAGAGGTGTCAACTACCAATTATTTTTGCACAGTTTAAGGCTTGAGCGTGTGCTGGCTTTTAATTTCTAATCACTGCTTAGAACAAACAACTTTAAAAACAACGAGTCTGACATCGTCAACAAGGGCAAAAGTGGCATCAACATCAACAGCTCAAGCCACGACTACGTCCAGTGTCCCCGGACAAACAACTGAAGTAACAACGACTACGTCATCGTCAACAAGGGCAAAAGTGGCATCAACATCAACAGCTCAAACCACGACTACGTCCAGTGTCCCCGGATCTACTCACTCAACAAATAAACCTACAACCTCTGTAACGGTTAGAAGCAGTCCTGGGTACAAGATTCAAAGCAGAACCAAAGACTCTACAAATCCCCAAACACCCCCCGTAAACTCCATGCTTCCCCTGCTTGGCGGAACCATTGGCGGCGCTCTGTTTCTACTTGCTGCCGTCATCGCCGTCTGCTGCTTACTCCGATCAAGGAAACAGAGGCACACCGATGGCTGTAAGTACTGTACTGTTCACAAGAGAGTGAGTGAGGGAGTTGGATTTGGTTCAACGCCGCTTTGAACAGTTTTTGATACGTTGCCGCCACTCCATCTTCATATAAGAAGCCGCGTATGTCAGTAGCAAGTAGTGGCGAAGTGAATTCGTTAGAGTTAGTGTGTTTGGGTAAATGCTGATTTGAACCGAATGCCAGTTACATCATGGTGTGTCTGCTTAATGTGAAAGGGAAGCCAAGTGATGCAGGTCTTAGGTTTTTACCATTTTGGTGAAGCCCACGAGCAGGGATATGGTGCTGGCAAACCTGGAAACAGGGATTCGAACCGACTAGGCAAATAAAGAGGAGGAACCGGGGTTCGAACCCAAGGCCACAGGTCCCTGGCAAGCCTAAGCGACGCAACTCTGCACACAGAACTCCGGTGCCTTAGGGCGAATGGGACATCAGTATCCCAAATATCGTTTATGACCTCTCGAGACGTTATAATGAAATGTTGTTATCAATTGATATCATTGTTCAGGAAAATTTGTTTTTTGTTGAATCAAATATGCCCGAAGAGAAACACATTTATTGCAGAAACAATTTAGAAAATATATTAATGTTTGCGCATATTACCTAGTATATACCAGTTGTAGTTACTCCGTAGCGATAAGTGACGTAGGTATTGGCGCATGTTGTTTGAATGATATGAATCCAATGCTGTACTATTCATTCCTCCTCAGCTGCTGTGCGGCCTAGCAAAGGTCATTACAGGTATGTAGAGGTATTTCTTCATCTTTTCGCGAACACTTGGCATCATCACTGTTTGATAGTGTTTAATAATACATGCTGATGATAATGTCGGAAACGTATGATGGACTCTACCTTTAGTGGAGGTTTCATATGATTGTGGGAGTGGTTTTGTCACTTTATTTAATTAAAAAAGGATTGAAAGAGCGAAGGATATGTTATGTCACGGATTGTCTGCATAAAATGAACGTTGTTGCTGTTGTCTGAGACTCGAATATCAGCATGGTACAGACAGTGCAAGATCCTTATTCACCACTTATACATAATGATGTTTTAAAAAACAAAATAACAAATGATTCAGTTATGTGAGTGAGTGAGTGAGTTGGGTTTAACGCCGCTTTTAACAGTATTCCAGTTATATCACAGCGTGTCAGCTTAATGTGGGAGGAAAGCCCGAAGTGATGCAGGTCTCAGACGTTTACCACTTCGGTGAAACCCACGAGCACGGGGTGTGGTGCTGACAAACCTAGAAACATAATTGGGGCGAACCGGGATTCGAACCCAAAATCATAGGTTTCTGGCGTGCCCAAGGGACGCATCTCTGCACATCGAATCGCTGCGCCTTAGACGACTGGGCCACCCGCGCCCCCGATTCAGTTATGTAACAGAGTGCCAGCTTGATGTGGTCGGAAGGCTGAAGCTGTGCAGGTCTCAGACGTTTACCACTTAAATGAAACCACGAACACGGGTATGGTGCTGACAAACCTAGAAACATAGGGATTCGAACCCATGATCACAATGAAATGCGTCGTCTTAGATTTTGTTAGTGTGTTAATATAACAAAGTAAACTAAACCAAAGGCAGTTCAATTTAAATAATGCGACATCTCTGCATTTCAAACAATCTCATTCCAACAGATTTTAACTGAACTGATTTGTTCATGTTGTATGTCAACACAAACCGAATATGATGTAATCATACACATTTAACTTATCAGAAATCAAGATCCGGAACAGGGAGAAGATGCGGGTCAGTACATATAAATAATAGATTATTAAATCACACATTCTGTTTTGAAGTGTTTTATTAAAGAGGGATACAATCTATACAATCTAAACTGTAAACCAATATCAACAAATGCAAGAAACTTTAAAAAAAAACTTTCTTGGTCTTGTCAATATCAATATCATTATTTTGTTAAGGTAAATTTCCCATCCACTTTGCAGTGATGGAGGGTAACCCCCTCTACAGCAGCTACGATGGGGGCGTGGATTATGCCCATATAGGTGGGGCCAGACAGACAGCCAGCACTAAGGGTGAGTCTATGATATAGATGACAAGGGGGAGGTGTGGGGACGTCACTTTTTCCTGATAGGTGGGTCTAGACAGTCAGCCAGCACCCAGGGTGAGCCTATGGTATAGATGACAAGAGAGAGGTGTGGGGACGTCACTATGCCCAGGTATCGTAAGTCCCCATGGTAACTAGTATGGTGACCTACCTTTGGCTATTGGTGATCTAAAGCCCATTTTTATTGTGTATTGTTCTGAATTGTTCTGAATTTTATTCTGATATGCTAGTTTTACAATCTACATCTGTGATAGTCTAGTGTTTTTACTGTCCTTTGTCGACAGATTTTATTGTCACTATGTATTAATATATAACTTGATTTAGTCACTATATGGCTGAAATATTGCCACTGTGACTTTAAATATTAACTCACTCACTCACTCACTATGCCCAGATAGGTGGGGCCAGACAGACAGCCAGTACCCAGGGTGAGTCTATGGTATACATGACAAGGGGGAGGTGTGGGGACGTCACTATGTCCAGATAGGTTGGGCCAGACAGTCAGCCAGCACCCAGGGTGAGCCTATGGTATAGATGACAAGGGGGAGTTGTGGGGACGTCACTTTGCCCAGATAGGTGGGGCCAGACAGACAGTCAGCACCCAGGGTGAGCCTATGGCATAGATGACAAGGGGGAGTTGTGGGGACGTCACTTTGCCCAGATAGGTGGGGCTAGACAGTCAGACAGCACCCAGGGTGGGTCTGTGGTATAGATGACAAGGGGGAGGTATGGGGACGTCACTATGCCCAGATAGGTGGGGCTAGACAGTCAGATAGCACCAAGGGTGGGTCTGTGGAATAGATGACCTGTGTGGTGTGGTGGCCTGGTGGCCAAAGCGTTAAATCTTCAATCCAAAGACCCGGTTGGATTGCTAACTTCGCCGCCAATAGCTGCAATATTCCCCACATGGCCATAATGCATCAATCCCATGTCTGGTGTCCACCATCGTTCTGTGGCTAAAACCGGGGAAAAAACCCGCCCACTCATTTAATAAACGTACAGCTGTATGCTTGGATATTTCTGTTATATTGATAAATGATTCGTCACCTCGATTGACCAAAGTTCCATTCATTGGAAGGGGCCTGTTTCATTCTTTCCTTTACCAATTCTGACGAATATTTTAAATTTAAATCTATCATGTATCAAGTAGTTTTTTTTCGAAATTTAAACATTTGATCTAAAGGTCTATCTTGAAGGTCTCGTACAATGGCACTGATTCATTTGTAAACATGTCTCATGTTGTACTGAATACTGTCTCCTTCAGACCCCCAGGCGTCCCCTGGTACATCTCATGAGGTTGCAGACATATACGCCATCCCGGATAAACAGCGTCCATCAACACTGAATGGTGAGTCGTAGGGAAACTGTATAAATGAATACTTTCTGGCCGATAATCATTGACAAAAGAATTCTTCCACACATTTTACAAAAGTGTAAACAGAATTGTTTGCTGGATGAGCTGAATAGTCTGAAAGATTGTCTTAGGATCCTCCTTTGTGGATATCATGTTTTAGGATCCTCCTTTGTGTTAATCATCTCTTAGGATCCTTCCTTGTGGATATCACGTCTTAGGATCCTTCTTTGTGGATATCATGTCTCAGAATCCTCCTTTGTGGATATCATGTCTTAGGTTCCTCCTTTGTGGATATCATGTTTTAGGGTCCTCCTTTGTGGATATCATGTCTTAGGTTACCATACCTTCAATCTGGCTTTGCGATTATGTTCATGTGCAAATGTCTTTTTGAAGTAGGATGTTATTGGAAATATGATATAGCTATACGATAAATATCGAAGAACAATGAAGAGCGAAGTGCGGTTTATTTCATTAACATTGTTCTATCATTTCTGGAGATTCGAACATGCGCTGTGTCGATATCACGCCTTGGGATCCTCCTTTGTGTTAATCATCTCTTAGGATCATCCTTTGTGGATATCATCTCTTAGGATCATCCTTTGTGGATATCACGTCTTAGGTTCCTTCTTTGTGGATATCATGTCTCACAATCCTCCTTTGTGGATATCATGTCTTAGGTTCCTCCTTTGTGCTGTTTTTTAATCACTGGCACTGATTCATTTGTAAACATGTCTCATGTTGTACTGAATACTGTCTCCTTCAGACCCCCAGGCGTCCCCTGGTACATCTCAGGAGGTTGCAGACATATACGCCATCCCGGATAAACAGCGTCCATCAACACTGAATGGTGAGTCGTAGGGAAACTGTTTAAATGAATACTTTCTGGCCGAAAATCATGGACAAAAGAACTCTTCCACACATTTTACAAAACAGTAAACATAGAATTGTTTGCCGGATGAGCTGAATGTCCTGAAAAAAATGTCTTAGGGTCCTCCTTTGTGGATATCATGTCGTAGGGTCCTCCTTTGTGGATATCATGTCTTAGGATCCTCCTTTGTGGATATCATGTCTTAGGTTACCATACCTTCCATCTGGCTTTGCGATTATGTTCATGTGCAAATGTCTTTTTGAAGTAGGATGTTATTGGAAATATAATATAGCTACACGATAAATAGCGAAGAACAATGAAGGGCGAAGTGTGGTTTATTTCATTAACATTGTTCTATCATGACGTCATTTCTGGAGATTCGAACATGCGCTTACAACTTGATGACGTATAATGGACGACGTTATTTTTGAGAAGGGAGTATCTAGTGAATTGTTCCCCAAAGATGTAGCTCGGCTACAAAGATAAACGCGATGGCCGAACAACCGCATCCAAAAGTGGGTGAGATATTTCAATCGTCTTTGGGAGAAAAGGTACAGGCAATCGACGTGTGAAATACCCATCTTTCATGGATTCCATTGAGGGAGTCATCATTATTGAAATACGGGTTTATATTTTGAAAGCTTGTACATTTCATCATCATCCTTAAGAGGCTGTACATGATGTTGATGTCTCATGTAAGAAATAAACGTCTCATAGACGTTCTTTATCGTACAATAAACACTGCAGGGAGAATAAATCACTCGGAGCTGCGCCCATCATGGTTTATTCTCCCTGCAGTGTTTTATTGTACAATAAACAACCCCCACTCGTCGTTTATTTCCTAACTAAAAGTTAGATTACCATTGTTTCTTGAAGATGGGGCTGCTGAATGTGATGTGTACAGCGTGGTACAGAAACAGCCCCAGTGAGAGGGTCGGGCAGTGTCAGTCCACTCGACAGACAAGGGAGGTAAGTCAGATAATGTTGTCGAGTGATTGTGTGATAGCGTTTTACGCTGTGATTAGCAATGTCCCAGCAATACCACAGATGGGGATCCCGGGGATGGAATTCATACATCGCATCCATATGAAGATTCGAAATAGTTTCGCTAGGCTACTGTACCTCCTGGCTTTATGATAATGAGATAGACAATCGTGTTAACATAAGAATATGGGCAACCGAAATGATCGAGTCAGTTGATCGTTTGAGTGAATAGTATTTTCATATGTTGTAACTTCCATCAGGACGTGGGGAGTCCTTGTTCCAAAAGGTCCCAAGAAACCCTGCTTGTCATAAGAAGCGACTGAATGAATCGGGTGGTCAAGACTTGAACCATATACCGTCCGCCATGATAAAATGAAATTAACTTTGCAAACAACAATCAAACTGAAGAGGAGCACACCTGTGTTCTCATATTGTAGGTATTCGCGGCATCGAATCCCGATGTCCCCGAGCTTTGTTTGTTTGTTTGTTTGTTTGTTTGTGGCTTAACGCAGCACTCAGCAATATTCCAGCTATATGACGGCGGTCTGTAAATAATCGAGTCTTGGCAAGGCAATCAGTGATAGGCATCACGAGCATCGATCCACGTAATTAGGATACGATTACATGCATCAACCAAGTCAGCGAGCCTGACCACCCGATCCATTAGTCGCCGCTTACGACAAGCATTGTCATCTTTAACGGCAAGCATGGGTTGCTATGGACACGGGCCGTCCGAGCTTGGATGTCTTCCATAGCTGAGCAAACGAAAATACTTCACTTATTGATACTGAATCATTTACGTTAAATTTACCTGAGCTGAAGGAGGGTCCATATTTATGAGACATCCTGCCTTTACTCGTCTTAAAATATTGTTTGACAATTCTCAATGCGTGGGCACATGAAATAAAATAAAACCATTAAAAGTGACTTTGTTTTTAAAGGTGAGGTGTCTGAGCTGTACAGCTAGGTGTAGAAGCCACAAGATCATGGGTAGTAAGACAAGATCAAGACTGTGAAGTGGACTGTGAAGTGGACTGTGGGGTTGACTGTGAGGTGGAATGTGAGGTGGACTTTGGGGTGGACTGTGGGATGGACTGGGGGGTGAAGCTTCTCTTTTGTGAATTATTTTCTTTTTTATCTTTTTATGATAATTACCAATTTATTGTTATTCTGCACAGATAATTCAGGTCCAACGGGGCACAGTTTAGTAGAAACAATGCTAAGAAAGTAGATGCCACAAGACAAACCAGTTAGACCTGCAGCTCTTTACCGTGTTAGAAAACATATTCAATGTACAACTAATGATCGAGAATTTCTATTCTTTTAAACCAAACAGATGATAAATAACAGGGATCGGATGTTGTCACACCCAATTTATCTCTTGCAACGTGTTGTCACATAATCTCTTAAGTAAATTATTATGGCTTTCTGCGGTTTGACAATTTAGCATCCAATAATGGCTTCAACAGGAAATATTGCTTGAGTAAATCCTATGAGATATCGCTACAATGGAACTGCATCACGCTTTGCATACCATTGTGACGTCATCGTTACAATGCCGTCACTAATCTATAACAGAAGCTGGTTAGCTGTAGTTTAATTACTCAAGACACTGGTTAGTACTGTTTGCATTGGCAAAAGGCTAGAAGATTGATTCAGGACGATAAGAATAATCTCACCCGCGTGTCTTTTGATATCAAATATATCAACACGAATTAAAACTCCGACGCTTTGGTTTAGATTTTTGATGTAACCCATTTGATATATGTAGAATATGTAGAATATGACAAATATATACTTGTGACTCAAACTGCTTATTTTGCTTTTAATATGATGTGCTTTTGTCACAGTTAGTAATAATTAGCACGTGTCATTATTGAATACTATGTTGTATTATTTTTTCAAATACATTCCAGATGGTTCATTTGTCCTTGCATCGAATACTCAATAATACCGTCAATCATATACACCAGTGTTACTGATGTTGTTAGATACAAGTCACGATATGGCTGAAATATTGCCCATGTGACGTTTCAGTTTTACTGACTTGGTTCATGCATGTCCAGTTGTTTATTCACAAAAAGTGTTAGGCCGTAGGCCTATTACACAGAAGTATTTACAGAGAGAGGGAGAAAAAAGAATTACCACTAGTTTACATATACATCCATATCCATACACATTCATACACATGCATATACACAAATAAATATTTAGACTGTATGTAATGAACGAAGTCGAAAAGCTTTGTAAACGTAGACTGCTAGATTTCGTATGATTTTAGAGTTAGTGGATGACATAAGAGCATTAAATTTATTTTTAGAAGGGGTTGTAAAATATTTAGGAGGAATGTATTCAGCTCTTAAATTATTATAAGCATTGCATACAAGCACAAAATGATATTCGTCCTCAATAAAATTCTGGTTACACATCAAACACAGTCTCTGTTCTCTTATTTCCTTAATATATCGACCGGTCTCAATTCTCAGCCGATGGGAGGAGCATCTCAACTGAGCAAGAGCAGCTCTGAATTTTGAAACATTTACTACCTTGATATAGCTTTCTAAGCCAAATGAAATTTTGTAAAGAGAGTAACTCTGGGATTTAGTGCTAGATGAAACAGCTGCATGCCAATCTTGCTCAGACGAGGCTTTTAAACGGTTTACAAATTCCAAGATAAAGCTTCTACTATTATTACTAAATTGCATCTCCCATATGTAGCCAAAACCAAACGAACAGAGAATGTGTTTGATTTTAGAGACCCAGTTGATCTTACCATTATTAACATCAAGTAATAATAATCTATAACATTTCTTAACTAATCTATTTTCAGGTAAATGTAAAATTCTGTACCAATAAGTAACTACACGCTTATAAGCCCATATGTACATAGGATACCTTCCGCATTCCCCTCTAACCACATGATTTGATGAAGATTGTTTAACCCCAAGAAAGCGTTTACATGCTAGTATCTGGATTTGCTCTAATTCTTTGTAGGTATCTACACCCCAAATCTCGGCACCGTATAAAAGAATCGGAGATATTTTAGAATCAAAAACTTTGAAAAACAAGTCATAAGGAAGAGGTTGAAGCATTTTTAGAGATTTAATGACACCAAATAGGACCTTTTTAGCTTGTAAAGCAGCACTATTAACATGCAAAGACCAGGAGAGAGTTTTTGAAAGAATGGTACCGAGATATTTATAAGAACTTACACACTGAAGTTTTTTACCCTTGAAATACCACTTTTCATATTTTGATAAAATACCCCCGTTTTTAAATACCACTACCTTAGTTTTATCCAAGTTGACTGTTAGATGATAGTTACTACAAAAACTTTCCAGAGCTTTTATGCGTTTTTGAAGGCCATACAAAGTATCAGCAATAAGTGCAACATCATCAGCAAACAACAATAGAAAAATCTGTACAGTGTCAGGGTGTAGCTGTACACCTGGAGTGCATGTTGATTCTACATACAAAGCTAAGTCGTTTATAAAAATAGAAAATAAGAATGGACTCATTACGCAGCCTTGCCGAAGTCCTAGAGGGCAATCAAAACATTCTGTAAAACAATTTCTGATCTTAACACAGTTTTTAACACAGGAATAGATGGGTTCTAATGCATTTAACATTTTTGGGGACACACCTCTGGATTTAAGAACTAGCCAAAGTTTAGATCTATTTACAAAATCGAAAGCCTTTTTAAAGTCAACAAAAAGAACATATAATTTACCACGCTTCCTAGACAGATAATGCTGGATTACAGACTGCAGAATAAATATATTATCAATAGTACTATAACCTTTCCTAAAACCAGCTTGAGAGTCACAAATTTTATCATACGCATCAGACCAGAACGTAAGTCTTGAATTAAGTACAGAAACATAAAGTTTACAAAAAGTGCTGAGCAAGGAGATACCACGGTAGTTATTGGGGTTTGAGTAATCGCCCTTCTTATGCAGAGGTATGATAACACCAGTACACCACGACTCGGGAAA